TTTAAGTGCTTTCATTTGCATACATCGGTCGAACATGTTGTAAAAATATCACGTCCCACATATTACGATGTGTATAATACACGTATTACTGATGCAGTAATAATCTCATCCACGGGCTACATTTGTGGCGTACACCCAGACTGAGGCACAGCACCGGAATGGCTGTTCTCCGAGCATATAATACTAATATATCGTCTTCGTAGGTTTATCGATGGCACGATGTCAATGCCGCCATCGTGTCTCGGTCATATTATAAGCTTAGCCCGCACACTTCACGCGTATTATGTGTGCCACATCGATACGAATTTCACCTCTATATTCCAGGACATCCGCCGTAGATAATATTATATATACAATATAAATTATGATGGAGTCGGATATCAGACAAATGTGCCGAAATTGTTGGCCAAAAGCGCGGTGATGTCTGTATTTCACAGATAATCTATAATTCATAGTAGGTGTCCATAAGGGCTGTCGTTAAACTACATATATTGTTATGATTGTTGGAGTAAAGTAAAAAATATAATATTGGTGGTACCCATATAGAGCGTAAAAAAAGTTCTACAATATAGAGTGGCCGGTGAATAATTGTTGATAGTTGCAGGGGCCGCTACCGGAAAGTATAAAAATGTTTTTATTTTTTTTTAATTTAAAATTAATCTATCAATATTCATTAAAAAAAAATATTGTTAATAATATTATAATACTATAATCCATAAAATAATAATTCATCATATTATGTTTAATATGTACTTAAACCAATGATTAATTTTTAATTAGTGTTATTTTTGTGATATTTTATGGTGGTATACTTGAATATTTCTTGTTTGTGCAATATACTCAATAAACAGTATAGGTACCTGTAATAGGTAGTTATTATTTATTTGAATAATATGAAGAAATTATAAAGATGTATTGGTTTAAAATATTTGTTTTGTATCTGTCATCACGTTTTAGAGCAGAAAAAGGTCTTTAATCCTTATTTGTATATAATCTCCTAGATTATTATTTTGTACACGATTTCTGGTGAGAGTTTGATCTAGTTAATACTTTCAGGAAAAACCAGAATATACCAACTAATTTTCTAATAATCGGGCAAAATTCACAATAAAAAAAAAAAAATAACAAGAATGTATTCACTCAACGTCAGTTTCTGAGAAAATCTAATTTGATTCTCTGTTGTAATTCAAAAAGGAATAACCCTAGAGACTTTAAATTTTCATTAATACTGCCATTTTATTGACAAGTGGTATCGTTTTAAAAATAGGTTTGCTCTTTTAAGCTTTTTTTAGACACTTGAAATGTTCGAAATTTCTTTTTTTTATTTACCTATGTTGATCTGATTTTCGTTTCTTGTGGTCGCCCATCAAGGTCGAATAATTTCACAAAGCTAGGTACAGTGAAGCCGATTTGTCCATGAAATGGGGTAAACTAAAACTGAGTTACACTCAAAACTATACCTATATAATATATAGGATTCGTCACAAAAAAAACTGAACACTGGCGAAGTTAGGATATTCAGCTTGTAAACTCATATAGTTAAGTGTATTTTGAAGTCATTAATGGAATATTAATTACCTATTAATAATTATTTACCTAGTAATCATATTTAAAATGTATAATATTGTCCATTACTTTTTGAGCAAGTATTTTCTTCTGAAAATAATCAGGGAAGACTAAAATTACTAAAACTTGATTATTTACGTTGCATAAGTTTCGACAAATGGATTTTGTTTTTCTGTTGCATTAAACGAAACTCTACATTTGAATAACTACGTAACACATGCAATATTACATAGTTTTTGCTGGAGGTATCTTTCCCAATCTCCATTTTCCCTAATTGGCGTACTATTGTATTACAGGTACCTACCTATGTAATAATGTAAATTAAACCTTACAAGAAATAATATTATTTTATGATAATCCATTCGAGAATATAAACTCATATAACATCATACTATTGAAGCATAAAAGTTATTTATTAGACAATTTTGAATACACCGTAGCGACAAGACGTATAATACTTCACTATTAATGTGGGAACGGTCTTCGTACATCTGAAGGGTGAACACATATTATATTATACATATCATTAATTGTGTATACTGTATTGTATTATTGTTGTTTTATTTTATTCTTAGTAGAGCATTAAATTTAATGTTTTAGCAACCTTGTGTTCTTCTTATGGTGTATCTGACGTCACCTTCAGAGTTTTAGGAACATAAATTAATTTTCAATTTTGAATGAGTTTTCAAAGAGGAAATCGTATCACCTAGTTGGTATACTTTTAGAAGGTGGCGGGGAGACTAAAAATTATTTTGAAAAAAATCAAAAACGGAAAACAGCAAAATGTATACAAAACCATAATTGGTCCATCACAAAAGTTTTTTTGTTGTACATCCAAAATGAATAACTGTATAATATTCTTGATTTTTCTATTATTTCATATACAATTTTCAAAATATCTTGATTGTTTTTGAGCTATTTATATATTTTATTTTATTTTATTGTAATAAAATGTAGCGGAATAAATGAAAATTCATTAAATTCACAGCCCCGATAACATGCATTTAAAATATAAACATTTAAAACGAAATAACGATAAACTATATAAGCGGATCTCTTTACATCGTTAAATAATTTCCGATATAATTTTAATTCTACCAAACAATAATGATTGAATCAATAAATATTGATATTTTGAAAAAGTATAATAGAAATCCTAATCACTTTAAGTACTTAACCTAACCGCATTTAAACTGTAATAAACTGATCAGTAAACATCATATTAAGTTGAATGTAGAAATCGGGGATCTCCCTCGGATATTAAGTAGTATAAGTATTGAGTCATAATGTGTATCATGTTAACTATTATACATTGGATAAACTAAAAATAAATGTACGTATTTAATTTAATCTGCATGATAAAAAGATTGTAGAAGATAAAAAAACAAGTCTGGGAGGAGACCGTCTGTCAGCCTATATTTCTAAAGTTATATTATTATATATAAATATTATATCGCTAAAAGTAATCTATTTGTCTAGTTATTAATAAGCTTATACTGTAAACTAATTTTCATCAAAAACAAATTTTATGGTTTCATAATATATATATATATAATTATGACATTAATAGAAGCTATTAACTTTTAAGTCAAAATTAATTGAAAATGGTGTGAAGAGATTTGTTGGATAAATAGCTTAAAATTCATCTAAATGTTTTTAAAATATCGTTGTGTTTAGTATATAATAACATGTAACATGTAAAAACAAAAAGTCCCTTTGAATAATTTTTTTTATTTATAACAAAATAAATTAAATATTTATGTTTTAATACACAATTTTTCGAATTTTTGACTTCAAATGTCTACAACGAAAAACTGAGATACTTAATTTTTTTAGACTTAAATTCATTATGTTTTTCTTTGTTTTTATTTATTCTCAGATGTAAGAACAACGAATAATTACAATTTTTCGGACAGCTTTTAAATTTAATTTTTTAATTTCAGTCGATAAGGTAGTAATGTTCTGTAGTAGGTGTAATATGATTAAACAAGTATAAATATACATATATGTATGTAATAATAAATTATATTTTGTGGGTTCGATCTCGTTTCATTCAATTTAATTTCCAATATTTAATCAACTATGTTTATATTTTATTTATTTTATTTTATTAGCATTTCGTGTACATTTCGTATCTTGGGCTATAAACTCCATTTAATATAATATTATCAATGAACATAATATTATGATTAACATTCAAAACTCATAGAAACCAATACGATGACACATATACATAATAAAATAGTTAAATTAGTTCCAATAAACTATTGTGATGATATTATAAGTGGTTGGAACTCACCGCACGGGACTTCTGCAGTAGTTACATTCGGAGAAACGATATCAATCAATCTGTAATAGTTAAGTGTAACTGCTATTGCCGTTGAACATACACACTATAATGACATACTCAGTTAATAAATGTGGCAGTTTACACATTATAAATTCCTCATTCCCTTATTTACACAAGCATGTCATTGATGATTTCTATTTTGAAGTTAAGCGATCCGTCCAGAGAATCAAAAATTATGCTTTAATATTATACCTCAATATATCTCTATAAGCCTACTATTGCAGTAAAACATGATTAGGGAATTTCTGTTTTGCGCAGTCAACAAACTGATTTCAAGTCAAAACTATAATAATACTATTATTAACTCGACCAATATTATACAAACACTTGCTGATATACTTTGTTTTTTCCCCTTGCTATCGATATTAATATTGCAACAACACATCACTTGCAGTTGTTTGTCAAACAAATAATAACTTATACTTCGTGTTTCGTGCTTAAATATAAAAAGTTAAATGCGTCGAAGGACTATACAATATTTACTGGATTGTATTGATTTTTCACGCTGTCTACGACTTATTCTGGTCTGGTCTAGGTGCCTTCACGCAATATTACGAATATCTCGTGTATGTACCGACTTGTGAATCTCCGGGGAAATTGGATTGGAATTTCGTCACTGTCGATTTGAGGTGATCGAGCTCGATATGTCGATCCTGCGAAAAGAAAAAAAATAAGCTTGATTGAAATTATTTTTGAAATGTGTACCTAACACCGCAGTAACACTTGTGCCGGGTTGTTCGGTGCTCGGTCGCGTGAAGGATTAAGCCGTGCGGCGGGGGTGAGAATATGTTGGAAAATAAAAGAGAGACGCAGTGTTAATTTCACGCACTTGAAGTTTTCACTGCGATGAATGCGTCTAACGATTATTGCGCTTCAGTTGACACACACACGCGCCCACCCACCCACACACACACGCGCAGGACTAATATCGCAAAACTATTAATTACTGCGACCACAAGCACATTAACATTACAACGTACCCGCCCCGAACGCTCACACACACACACACGCGCGCGCGCGCTTACGAATTTCGTTCATGATGTTTAATTAGATTTTTTTGTTTTTGTAAAATGTCACTTCGCAGAACACGAACTGCACCTGGACGTGTCCGACCCGGCTGTCGCCATCGATGCCCAGCCACCGGTTAAGCTGCGCACCACTACGATGGCGCCGTCCACGCCGACACCCGAGCCGATCATTCACGTGGGCACGACAAACGTGACGGTCCAGCTGGGCAGTACGGCGTTGCTCCACTGCGAGATAGCCAACTTGTCCGAGAAAATGGTAAGTGCAAAACGGAGGTGTATGCACCTTCACCTATATTTACAGTGAGGGTATGGGTTACGGAACAATGGGAACCGGACGCGTGGCGGCAGAGGCCGTGGGTGATTGATTTGGATCGTTTGACCCGATGGCTCTAAGTAATCGTTCGTCAGCTGACGTACGGACGGTTGTGATGGAGTCGTTCACGTATAGGTCGTTGTTGACTACTTGTAAGCCAGCAAAAATACCGACACTCGTCTGGCAGTACGCGTATTTCAAAACTTTTGTAAACGCTACGACATTATAATAGAAATAACACGAGCGGGCACACAAGCATACGAGGACTGGGTCACCCGGGGTGGAACCGTGAATGTCGAGGGAGTAGGAGGTGAGAGAGGCAGTGGTGATGGTGTCACGTGAGTAAGAGAAAAAAAAAATATCCCCTCGAGGCGAATTCTTCGACACACGCGCGACCGTATGCAAATAACTGACGAAATATATTTTACATGCCAGTGGTATTGCCTTGTTTTTCTTTTTTTTTTTTTTATATTGCTTTCCATATGTTTTTGGATCAAAAAATAGTGTATCCCCGTTGCTTAACCAGACGTTTTATATAACACGCACCCCAGAGTACCGTTTTGGATCCAAACGAAAATTGCGGTTAGTTTGGGTTGAAACCACCGCTGCAGTACCGCTGTACCTACCACTGACAAATTACAACACTTCTTTCCGAATATTATGCTAAACCGTGAAAATAATATTATCGACGTTTTTATAAGAATAAAAATACATTCCTAGAAATGTAATGGCAATTTAGACGATTGTACGCAAGATTATTCGATTTTATGGCTCTGAAAAACATACGTTGCATGAGTTATTTTACTGTGGGGAATATGTACCTATTACAAACAGAAAATTGAGTGTCTCGCAAACAAACATCCGGGTCGCATTGTTTAAAAAATAAAGATATTTATTTAAACTAATAGTCCGGCAAAATCGCAACATTGGTATTTCAATAGATTTAATTACTTTAATTGGCTAAAATATAATAAGCAGTTTTTAAAACGTGTACAAACCATTCTAATATTCTATTGTAAATACTACCCAACTGTATAATGTTAATGTTGATATAGTATAATGAGTGTAACAAGTAAACGTTAAGTAAATAATATCAAATTATTATTTCTATTTATAGAATAGTTTTAATCAAAATTGCATTTTTATTGTGAATTAATTGAATTAATTTTTTTTTTTATCATATTAGCTTAACAAATTATAGTTGAAATTAATTAAGAATGATCACAACCACACAGAATATAGGACGATACCAGGCAGATTTCAAGGCAATAAACAGTTCTATCATATTATACCGACATGACGAACTATAATTTACCTAGGCGTAAGATAATATCGCATTAAGAATGAAGAATAATTAGTCGAAATCACTAATAATTAATTTCACCTACTTTTTTAGTGATTATTTTTAGTGATTACATGACAATTTGATACTATATTTATTACTATCATAATACTAATGACTACATAATAATCATCTAGATCTTTGGTCTTTGTATAGAAGAAATAATTTTAAATCTAAAAATAACCTCCTCAAAAATACTGTTTTTTGTCATCGTTAAGTAAAAACCGAAGAATCTGCTAAACAAACTTCAATCCGAAGAAAAGAAAACTCTATCTTGGAAAAAGTATTAGAATAAAAATAAAAGCTCTTTAGTCATTTAATCTACAGTGAATCAAAAATATACTTTACGTTTGAGTATTTTAGAGTGAAGTTGCATGTTTTTAGCTTCACAAAATTATTACTTATAGGAAACCCATTTTTTTTTTCATACAAATCTAATTCCTCGATTGATATAGTAGGTAGGTATAGTTACTTTACAACTCAGATGTGCTTTTTATGGTAGAGAATTTCGTTAAAACTTTAAAAGACAATGTAACTGATAAAGAATAAGTATTTTTATAAATAACTCAGAAGAAGTATTGACTTTTTATGATAAACTATGTAGACAAATCAAATTGGGAAATTCCTACTTTTTGTATGCTCAATCGATATACCATTGATGATGAAATTGCGGTTATGAGCATACAATAAGTAGTAGTTCTATAATTATTAATTAATACCATGTTGAAACTTCGAATCTAAACAGTTTTCAATTTTCTGTTTAACCATACTTGACATGTAAATTAAATACATTTACAACTCTCTCTCTGATACAAATGCGATGCAACTAATATTAAAAAAGGGAAGAAAGTAGGTAATCGCTCTGCTGAATTTGGTTTCGAGTGCACCTTGTCTTAATGACTGTAAGTCACTGTAATGTATTTGTTGAATTTGAATTCAGTGATAGATCAATATATTCATCGCTCCGCCCATAATCAAATAAAATAAACCATGTTAAATACCTGTGGTAAAAAAATATTGGTAATTCAATTTGTTATCATATATTAATTTATGTTCGTTATGTTTACTTTATTTCAAACATTTGGAAGAAAAGAGAAGCATCTACACGAGTTTTTCTCAGAGAGACGAAGTCAACTTTTGATATCAAAATAAATAAATAATAATGTATGATTATCGTCTTATAAATATTACTGTTATTAAATATTATAATAAATAATTGATTTTATTTGGTTTTTATAAGACGGTATATGAGTCATTTGGTTATTTTTTTAAACCAGAATTAGGTTGAACGTAATAATAATACCTATAATATATTTGGTATGCACATTTGCACAAAAAAATAGTTGGTAATATTTATTGGTTTAATGATCGATATAATATACACTAAAATATCCAAAATAAACTTCATAAATACAATTGCGGCTTGAAATTACCAATAAATGATACACATAATATATTATATTATTACTGCAAATTATATATAAAAAAAAAATAATAATAATAACAATACGCGATATTTGCTGATTATATATAGACGTATTTATGTAGCTAGAGGTAAATACAATAATGTTAAAAAATGTTATTATACCTGTTGGATGGCTACACTAAACTAACAAAATATGCAGCAATAACATTTTTAAAAAAATATCCTTTTTATCTCAATACATTTGAGTGGATTAAATGTAAAAGAAAAATCATATTTAAAATGGTAATGACTTGAATTACACACATTTTTATCTCAGTTATTTTAAATTCTGAACATAATTCGTCGATTTAGACAATCATTAATTCACAATATTCTGATGGTTTTACTAGGTAAAATAGGAAATTGAAAATTTCTGAAAAGATTTTTTACACTTCGTCATAAAATTTAATAAATATTTTATTGATGTACAATACGCTGACATGGCGCAACTACTAAGAGCATAAGAATATTGATACAATAATAAAATGATATTTCTTGGAGATATAACTAAACAGTAAAATACATATTTTATTGACTCGTAAGGTGAATACATATTATGTCCATTGATTTTTTCAAATTTGAAGTAAAATTTACAATGTAAAACGATGGTATAGTTTCAAATAATATGTATTTTATTTTTTTCCAAAATGTTTATATTATCATGTCATGGATTTAGATATTATAAACTACAATACTTCAGTTTATTCGAGAATACGTTTGTTGTCTTTAAACTTGACTGTATACTTTCAGATGTAAGAACTTAGGTATTTCAAGAGAAAGGCAATACAAAATATATATGTTTTTTTTTTAAGTGCACTCAAATCAATACACACACAATTAATACCACAAACTCTATTGTTAGCATACAACTTTATCGACTTACATTAGATCTACATATTTATGTGAAGCAGCACTTAGTAAAATGGAATTCATCAAAATAAAGTGTAGAAATCTCCCAAATGATTATCCTTGGGATGGCTCGCTTGGCTCGATAATTCACCTACTTCAAAAACAAACAGCCATAAGGCCGTTAAATTAAATTACGAAAGGACAGGAACAATTTGCCGATTCACTAGGTGAGAAGCCAAGAATCTATACAATTTAAATAACCTAAGTAATGAGAAATGTTTATTTGAAATTATTATAAGACGAGACGTCTACCTACATATTGATTTTAGTATTAAGATTGTTAGATACATTAATAACTGTATGATTTATATTGCATAATATCTGACTTAAGTTAATATAACGACGCTTACATAATAATATGGGGTTAATACATTTTGCAAACTGCAGTGTTCACGTAAATAGGATTTCATATTAGAGACGATATAAAAAATGATAATTCTACCAATTTGTTTTTATTTTATACATTATACATGAATTGTAGTATCAAACGATAAACTGCCTAAAGTCTTAAATCTGGAACTGCACAAAAATTGCCTATAATTACCAATTATTGTTATGCTTGTGTAATGAAGGGTACCTATATGTACATTGTACATCACTAATGACTAATCGTGTCTATATACACTGTGAATTGATAGCTAATTTAAATTATTATTTTTTATATGATGATATTACATCAAAATGTATCCATCCAAAATGTTTTTCATCGTGAACGATTATTATAGATGATAGAAATTATAAATTAGTATTATTAGTTTTTCATGTAGAGATTTTTAAAACAAAAACATTTTATCGGATCTCGGGAACCGTGCATTATTGTGGTCGTAGTGAAACGAGTCGAGTTACCTGCTGTGGCACTTTAAGATAAGCTCCTATGAAATATATATGTGTGATAGTTTTCTTGTGCATGTGAAATATTGGCACACAGTCTCGGTGATTAACGTTACAGTCTCTGAAACTCTAAAATTATTGATTTTTTTTTTTAGTTTTGATCGCTATAATATTATCATATCATTGATCTCGATAAACTTGGCGTTTTAGAAATCAGCAGCAATACAACTTGTTTAATGACTCGAAAACCGTTAAAATGGTTGAAGTAACAACCTATACTTCATGCGTTTGCCAGAATATGGTCATCCGTATACAATGTTTATAAACGTTATAAATAAAACAGAAGATTAAAATCGGTCAACATCACGATTGAAAAATGAACAAACAGTCCACGTA